TGTGCTGAATTTCTTGTCTGACAGTGGAAAAGATCATAATGTACAGGTTTTCCCCATAGATCACTAGGAAAATGCCAATTAATAATAATAACCACCCTTTATAATGTGCTTATCCCTACAAGAAAGTACATTACACTTACAATCTTACTTAATTCTTAGTCCAACCCTATTAGGTATTTCATTCTTGCTTCAAAAGTCAGAAGAGTGGAGCTAGGGAGGGAACTTGCCCAAGGCCAAACAGCTCCTCAATGGCAAAGTCAAACTTAGAACTCTGAGTTTTCTGCTAATGAAGTCTATGTTCTTCACCAGTCTATCCACTGCTTCTCTCCAGCATAACCTTGAATAAGTCACTCTGCCTTAGAGTTATACCATTTAGGTCAAAGTGAAGGAGAAGAAGGCTGTTTTCAATTAATGTGTTTTAGAAGAGCTGGAAATAGTTTGACTTTTTAAACTTATTTATGATGATAATAGCAAGCAAATACCAAAAGTGCGCTCTATAGTAGGAACTGTAAGTACATCACATATGTTAACTAACAATCTTTATAACAACTCTGAAATACTATGGAATAATAAGATAACCCCTGTTTAATGGATGAAGAAACTGAAGGCACATGAGATTTAAAAAGTGGGTCCAAAATTACCAAGCTATTAAGCAGAGAGCTGGAACTTGGATTGAGAGACTACTTCCAAGTGATACACTTGTACCTCCCTAGCTCAGTGCTCAGGGGACAAAACTGAAGATTCAGTACAGACATACATTGAATACATACAGTTGAATACATATGGTGGACTCAAACCTATCAGTCTCACCAGGTGGGAAATGAGATGACCCCCCCGCCCCGCCCCTTCTTACTCCATTCCATTCCCTCCATTTCTCTTTGGCAAAGCTGATGCCTGAATAAAGAATACAATCATACAATCATTTCCAGATGCCGTTAGGCAATAATACATGGTTTCTGAACAAATAAGTCAGTGGAGCCATTCTTGAGACTTCTATAGCAAATAATGCTTAAATAAGAGGACAAACCAAAAGTGCTGACAGAAAATACATGCAGCTTCTGTGCCCAAACATAGTCTTTCTGCATTGTGCTACTGGCAATGAGAATGGGTGATAAGCAGGTAGGAGAAGGAATAGATTGCAGTACAGGTGCAATGATTTCAGTTCCTATGTCCCCCTACCTAACAAACAGCATCGGGTAGGGGGACATAGGAACTGAATTAAATCAGTGTTTATCAAACATCAGCTAACCTTCATGGGCTTCCTATATGGTTGACTTAATTTCATAAAGCAACTAACTTGTTTTTTAAGCTAAGCATTATTATAAGACATGCATATACAACTGCAAATTTGTTGATTTTTTTCTAACATACACACACATATGTAACTCTTAAAATTTTTTTAAGTTTATCACTATGTTACCCAAAATGATCTCATGTAGCATCAGTAGCATTTGGGACTCACTTAGAAATAAGAGGTGCTATGTAGAATGGCTCAGGACTAAGAGAGAGCCTTAGAAGAAAGAAGGTAAAATAAAGCTTATGTGTGCTGTAGAGGGTCCCATGAGAATGGGGCAAAAGGGAGAGGAAAAAGGTCTGGAGTAGCTAAAAGTCATAAAAACAAAGGGTGTCTCTGTCTTCCACAGCAAGGGCAAACTAGTAACAAGGGCAGTACAGCCAATCAGCAAGTACTAAGGAATGACCAGAGACTGTTAGGTCAGTAACCCCTGCTCAGACTAGAATCCACTGCAGAGAAGGAAGTCTCTTTTCTTTGTCTTCATTTCCTGGGGAGGTGTGTGTGTCTTTTTCTAAACAAGCAAACACCTTCTGTAACACTTGTTGTGAAACAAACATTGCCTTCTGTTCACTTCTTCAGTCTGTCTACTTGCTACTAGGAAACAGAAATAAGGGACAGATTTTTGACTGAACGCAGTATCATTCTAATTATCAAGAGTTGGGAACATTCTGCAGCGGGGATGCATGAAATAATGTGATATAAAAAGTCATAGAATGTAAGATTTAAAAAAAAAAGAAAAGAAACTGTGGGAGGTAAACACCATTAAGGCCCAGAGACTCATCTTCTCATGTAAAAATATTTGACTAAGATGCATATAGATTCAGAAGAACAACAACATTAATACAGAGTAGAATTTTTTTAAAGCATTGAAGTACTAGGTTGAACCTTATAAAATTGCCAATATTTGCTGTTTTCAACCAACAGATTAGACAACTTCATGGAGCCAAAATATATGCGCACTACTTAGCTAGCAGGTTGACAGGGGTGAAACCAATGGAGAGAGGGAACCACATTTTATTCCATAAATGTCTGAGTTATCTCTTTTTACGAGGAACATGAGCGGAATATATTCATGTATTACCTGGTTTCATAGCAAAAACAATCACTACTAGCTAATAACAAATTGACTAGATTAGAAAATAGATATTTTTAATTGATATTGTCTACAAGGCAAGTTTATTTTAATTACTGTGATAGCAAACAAGATATACCAATTGGCATAGAGAGTACCTCTTGCTTCAGCTATCTTTGGTGGCTTCCTCCCTAGGATTGCTGGGGTCGATGCGGCTCTGCTGCAAGCGGCAATGGTAGTCAGAGGCAGCTGCTGCCAGCTAGAAGCCAAGGTTCACTCAGCATGTCTTACTGAAGCAATTAGTCTCCTCTTTTATCTTCTAAGGAGACTGGATTTACATAGGGCATATATCTATGGCTATATTCGTATGATGGAGCACTCAACTCCTTTCTCACGTGCATATTGTTTTTTATGTTTTCTTGTAAATTCTTGCAAATTTATATTTTTCAAGGGCAGGGCAAAATCTATTTTTGTTTGCAATCATACCAACTATAGAAATAAGGCTTAAAAGTAAGTATTTTATTATGATAAACTTAGATTTAATACATATTTTAAAATAATATTTAAAAATAAATCAGGGATTTGAGGCCTAGGATACTGTGATGTAAATAAGTATTCTCTGCAAGTATTTTAGCTACAAAGAAACATTTCTACATTTTGATTTGAGCCTCTACTATGTCAATCATTCTAACTCTGAGTTACAAATTTATAAAATTGTAAAACTGAGCAAAGATAAATTCTGTAAGGAAAATATAATAGGTAGATGTCCCTATATTGTAACATTTTTTTCAGGACAAATGAATGAAACATACTTATTACTGCAAAGTAAGTGATGTTTAGGCAGACTCCAGGTACAAACTCTTACGTATGATAAAATAGCCTAAGGAAACATTTGCAAGTCATCTAAATTAACAAGGGACATTTTAAAGGTCTGGGGGTAGGGTGTGGGGACACTGTCAGCAGCTCAAGAGGATCCTCTAAAAGAAAGCTGTATTTCCTGGGCTTTCAAATAGGCTAAACAAAATACATTCTTGTTTAGAGGATGCACTAAAGGAACGCCACTATTAATTATGCAAACATGTTTTTGATGGGTAAAAGAATTTGAGAATGACTCAGCAAGAGATTTCAAAACCAAATACTTCTACCTGCTTATTGAACATGTTCTTTCCAGATCTGCTCTCTTTTCTATGACCTGTGGTTAGAAGTTTGAGATTTATGAAAGGGAGGCTCCCTCACTTTAGTGGCTTTCTGAGAAAGCCCCAGTTTTGCCAGGAACATGGAATCAGTCAGTTCTACCCAGCCCTCCCATCCTTTTACTCTTAGTTTAAGTTGGAAATAATTGATACCTCTTCAACTTTAGCCTCTAATTTTTCTTTAACAAACATAAAACCTAGTCAGATCCCCTAACCAAACACTGGGTCTACCTGTCAAAGGTTTGTGTGTTTGTGTGTGTGTGTGTGTGTGTGTGTGTTTATGTATGTACGTGTGGATGTGTATGGTTGCCTTCATATTTCCCTCTAGATGAGACTGTATGTTGACAGTAACTCAGAAAAGGGGGAGACATTTAGAAGTCAAATTAAGATGTAAAGGCAACAGAATATTTTTTACAAGTCACTGCTAAAGTGACAGTTCAAGATTTAGTTGGAAAAGAGAAGGCTCCCAATCATGAGTCCTTTAAATTTGGGGGAGGAGAAGTCCTCTCACCTATTTTGGAAACTACTTGCAGATGTAGGGAAACCTCTGAATTGCTCACAACAGGGGTTTTGCAGAGATTTCCTCTGATTTTTTTTCCTCCCCAATTTCCCACAGCCTGTGTTTGTCCTGCATCTGCTAGGCTGACATGTGGTTTACCTCGCTAATCCTGCTGCCAGGTTTTACACACTCTCCTCCGAAGTAAAACAACTGAAGCCAGAGGATACTGAGTAACTCTGGGCATGGGCGCCAGAGCTGTCACAGAAAATTTGCTTCCCAAGCGTTCCTTCCAACTTCCCTTCCTGAGCCCGCGTGAGCCACAGCGCAGCCCTTGGCGAAGTCTTCGCGTTTCCTGCTGCTGCAATCTGTAACTGGATTTTGGAATTTTTTTTAACTGCAGTTCTGAGGATCTTAGTTCGTAGCACAACTTTGTTGGTTGGGGGACTTTGAAAGCAGTTTCCTTACCTTGGTCGCGGGGGCCCAGACACTTTTCCTCCCCTCCGGGCTGCACCGAGGCGAAGGCAGCAAAGGGGAGCCGCAAGCTCCTTGTGTATTGGGGGTTTGAGCCGAGTTGTCACCATCCCTCGCCCACCCCCGGTCTGGCGTTCTCGGTTGGCACGTACATCATCTATTAACTACTGTTCCTGGACGCAGTGCATGATATATTCATTTTTATCTTTAGTAAATTATAAATGGAATTCTCGGCGCGCTCGTGTCTGTCTGCTCGTGTAGGGCTACCGAAAGGAGGCGGAGAGGAGGCTGTGGCCCGGATCCTGACCCTGATTGTATGAATAAGTAAGCAGGATGCAAGTGATTGGGTTAGATGCTGTGAAGATTTTTTTTCTTTTCTTTTCTTTTCTTTTCTTTTTTTTTTTTTAAGTTAGGAAGAGGGTAAAAAGACAGCCGGGGTGGGGGGGGAGAGAAGGCAAACAGTGCATCCCCAAATCCTCCCACTTTCGCCCTTCTCGCAGCCAGTTGCCGTGCTGCTTCTGCGGCTTTTAAGGTCTGGCGGCGCAGGGATGTCTGCCCCCCACCCGCGACCGCGGTCCCCACTTTCAGCTCAGACGCGCTGATGTGCAGAAGGGTCTCGTCCTCCCAGGGCGGCGCCGGGTCTTGGGTGCGGGACACGCGCGGGGCCTGAGCCCGGGGACCTGGGAGCCTGAGCCCGGGAGCCTGAGCCTGGGGCAGCCAAGCCGTTGAGCCGCAGGAAGGACGGCCGCGGGGAGGCAGCCTGGCCGCGCGCCCGCCCGGACCCGCTCCGTACCTGCCCCCGCCCGCCACCTAGCCCGCGCCGGGGGACAGGCCGCCCAGCCCTCTCTCGGCCCGACGGCGCCCCATGTCCCCAGACACCTGAGCGCCGGCCGCGCCGAGGAGCCTCCCACGAGGACAGCCACCGGTGCCCTTCCTCGCGAGGAAGATGGGGCTGGAGACGCTTCCCCTGGGGATGCTCGCGTGGCTGGTGGCCACGGGGGCTGTCCTCTGCGCGGAGCTGGGGGTCTGCGCCGGCCTCGATTATGACTACACTTTCGGTGGCAACGGAGAGGAAGAGGCGGAGGCGCTGGACTACAAGGATCCGTGCAAAGCCGGTGAGTGCCCTCTCGGGGCGAGACAGCGGGGGCGCGGCTGGCGCTGGGAGGGCGCCGGGTCTCACCTGTCTCCTTCCCACCCCCTCCCCACCCCGAGGGGCCGCGCCGCCTCCTTTGCCGCAGCTCTGCGCCGGCGGGACCGGGTGCCAAGCTCTGTCTCCGAGTTTGGGGACCTCCTGGAGTTCCTACACCCCACCCCCCACCCCCGCCCCGGCGCGGCGTGACGAGCCGCGGACGCAGCAGCCAGGGCTGAGTCCAGCGCCCGCGGCCCGGCGCTTCTCTGGCGGCGCCGCCCTGGTGCCGGGCGCCCGCTATCCCGCTCTCGGGCGGGTGGACTTCACGTCGGGACACCTTCGCCCCCTCTCGGCCAGGGTCCTGTGTGCGTCCCAGGCGACAAGGGGATGGCGACGTCCTCCAAAGCTCCCCCGCTGAATGGATTCAGCGCATTTGCCCATTTCAAGAAACCCTAAAAACACTTCCAAGTTGCCGTCCCATTCAAACTCGTTTCTCGCCCCCACACCCTGTTTGCACCCTTAGACCTGCGGTGGGACCGAGACGCCCCGCCCGGCCCTTCTCCCGCCGCCTGAGGTCAGAGTCACATGCCCTGGCCCCGGGCCCTGTTCCACTTAGGTGAGGCCAAGGTGAACCTGGGTCGGTGGACCCACCATTCATGGGTGACCCACCATTCATGGGTGGACCCATCATTTCCTCGTGATGCGAGGAAAGTGATCACGAGGGTCCTGGGGCCGATTAGGTGAGTGTCTGTAAGCAGAAGGCACGTTCTGCCGCATCTCAAGAGGAAGGGAGGGCAAAATCCCCAAAGTAGCTTTGCCGCTCCGATTCTGTGCGGATGGTCTGCCTGCGATGTCTTCCTTTCCTTAGCTAGGTAAACCTCTTTTGACCTCTCTTGGGCCTGAAGTTAGGAAAGATGTACGCAAATGAAGGAAAACGCTGGAAATTCCCTTGTTAACTTGTACCTTTGATGGCACATTGTTCTGACAAGGAGGGTATGTTTGTGACAGGGAGCATATGTGTTCGCGTTATCAGATCTTTCCTGGTGCACTCTTACTGCGCGTACTTCTTCAAAACTTGGAGTAGCTTAGCAGAAACACGTCAGTCTGGAATTCAGAATTCTGATTTAATTCAATTTTGCTTATAAGTTTCCTCATCACCTTTAACACTCAGTCTATCCCACCGGAAGTTTCCTAGGCCTTCCTTGATAGTTTAGAGGACAAGACACCTTTCTGCTGTGGTTGGGCAGCCAGAACTCAGTATACAACTCCCTTAAACCTACTTTTTATTAAGAAATTTGTTTTGAATAATGTTTGCAACTGGGTGAAAATTGAGGGTTTTCTTGTTTTAGGAAAGGTAGAAATGAAGTATATTATTTCTAAAGATTGTCTACGAAAACACCTATTCTGATGCTCTGTTGTGTGAAAGATTCAGCCAGCTACCAATATAAGAAAATCAGGGCTTATCTATACATTGATCTGATTTCAGGAAAATAAATGTAGTTTTCTATACACATTAAAGTAAAAGCTTATGCTTTAAAAAATCATTAACTTCAAATATGCATATCTTATAAGAAGTATCAAAAGTTAGCTAATTCATTTTCAGAAGTTATGTTGTTTCAGGCTTATCTTAACATTAGAAATTGTATAGAAGAAGGTTCTGTGAACATGTGTATTTTTCTATTTAAGAGTGCAATTTTACAATTTAGTTGTACCATGTGTATTGAAACACACCTCAAGCATAAATGTCTATTTTCCTCAGCACATAAACATCCAGGCAAGATAAAAACAACAACAACAACAACAACCTTAAGAGCATTTACTTTTATTTTTCCTTTACTACTGGTTTATTTTATTTTATTTATTTATGTTTTTTGGTTTATTTTTGAACAGGGCTGTTGAGGATAAAACAGCAATAAAACCAAATTTGTATGGATTATTATTCTAATCTTATTTCTTCCCAATTTTTGAGTACAAGAGGTAAACCTGTACATGTGTGTAATGAAAGAGATATAAGAATGGCCCAAGTGGAAGACTGAGAAGTATGGCCAAAATCTGAGATCACTTTTAAATGATCAACCCTGCTTTTTTAACTTAGTGAAATGAAAGGCTTTAATTTACCATCTTGGCTAAAGAGTAGCAAAATCTTAGTCCCTCTTTTTGGCACTGTATAAGACAAATAAAAGTAATAACAGGGAAAAATTAAATAGTGCATTGAAATCCCAAACAAGAGTCAAAAAAAGGTCACTAAAATAAGAAAGATGAAGACAGATATGTGAAAGATAGCCAAAAAGCAAGAGGGGGTGCTCTCCAGACTCCAGGATACCTTTGATCTGCCCTTCCCCAAGAGCAGAGTGGAGGGCATGGCCCACTGAATAAGGTGCCCTTCTCTAACAGGGGTCCTAAGGTTCCTGAAACTATATGGTGGCTTGATGTCATAGTGACTAGCATAGCTTTATGGTTTCAGAGCACTTTGAGTACATTATTTCAGCTCAATGCACAGCCCAAATAGTGGAATTTGTTAATGTTACCATTACCCAGATAGGAAAACAGTTGCTCCATGAGCTCAAACCCATTTGTTAACGTTACCCAGAACTTGATTCCAAGTCTCCTTGCTCAAAGTCTGCTTGTATTAAACAATTACACTGTATTCTTAGCTGGCGTTTTGGAGGCCTTCCTTGAAATGCAAACAACAGAAATTTGTCCAGGTTTATCTGAGTCTAAACTAATAGAAGTGCAGTTACTTTCATTAACTGATATGAATGAAATGACTAAGAACATAATTTCATCTTTTCTAAATACAGTGAGAATATAAAGTCCTTGAGGACAGAGATCATAACTGATTTTTAATGTTTATCACAGGGATGGATTAACATTGTTAGATATCTGGAAAGTTCTCAATACTTTCTCATATCTATAGACTATTAATATTGATCTTCATCCCTCATTTACATCTCATTCTAACCAAGATCAAATGTTACCCAAGGAGAAATATTACTTGTTAAAATTAGGCCATCCTTAATATATTTGTGAAACAATATAACTTGTATGCCTTTCAAAACTCTGATTTGAAGTTCATGAAACTATAGGACAGAAAGGAAGAATTTGTGTTAATTTAACTTTGCTTTAGAAAGAAATTTTTGATATAAATAGAAGTAGATAAGTCAGTGTAGCACAGCCTCAGATGTAATTTGTATAGCCAAATCCATTAGGACAGAAAAGAGGTAATTCATCTCTATATATAAACAGACACAAAGATGCAGATAATTCAAAGGAATGTCTGTCTTGCACATTAAGGTGTCAGCACAATACATAGTCATCTGAATTTGCAATCAGATTTCTCTTACTTTCTCTAGTTCAAAAGGGTCCTGAGGGATACTGAGAAGCTGATGCTGCAGGAGGTCATTCCAGAACAGAGACTGAGGTGTCCTGTTTCATTGCTGTACTGTACCAGTAGATGTTAATCTGCGTATCTGTGAATATCTGTGAAGAGCCTGGGCAAATTCAGTGTGCAAATTAATCTCTCAGATTTGTCTATAGATTACCTGGAAAAGCAGACACCTGATAAACCAACTCTGTGTTCTCTCCCTACTCCCTACCCGCTTCCTTCCTCCCTCCCTCCCTCCCCAAACCATCCTCCCTTCTTTTCTCTTTTTGTATTTAAGGGGGTATCAGGAAAGCACAGGCAATTGGAAATATAATATCTAAAGAGGAAGAATGAATAAATTAGAATTTTGAATGATGAGTAGAGGCTGATAAGACTGATAAGGAAGGGTATCTTTATCCTCTTAAACAAGTGTGAAAACTCTGAAAAAAAGACTTCCCTACCTTTAATCTTCTGAGTAAATGGTTTATTTTTCTTGAAAAAAATCCAAGCCTGATTAAAGGTCAGTGACTTGCAAGGTTAAATCTGTCTTTAGAGTGGCATATGCAAGCTTGTTTATATAGAAATAGGCTTTTGGTATCCTAAAGGATTATTCTTCCTGCTTTTCTTTAAAACCAGTGTCCTAATGTCCTAGTATACTAATTCTTGGGGAAATTTTCATAAATTTATAATCTCTCAGTAAGATCTTATCATTTTTTGGTTCTCAGTGTTGTACTTTCTAGCTTCATTGGCAGCCTCCCAGATATGGCATTTTAGAATTTGATGTTTAACCCTATGTCTACTTTATTCCATCATAATATTAAATATCCAAACATATATTTATTGCCTGGCACCTCTTTAGGTTACCAAACCCTCATGTTAAAAATGTATTTCATAGAGCTGCTTCTATTAGCTAGTCTCTTCTGTTTTAGTTTTCATTCCTCAGATCTTGATTTTTTTTTTCTCCTCCTGCCTCTAGTGCCAACTCAGAAGTGGTCAAAATACAGTTTTTGCAAAAGGGATGGATAAGAATTCTGTAGAGTTGAATTCTAGTCATCATTTGCCAATAGTAATTCTTTAGCCCTTGTCCTGAGGGCCTACATTGATTTTTTTTGGTCCACCAATGGCAGTTACTGATATTAGCTAGGAATAAGATAGATTGTTTTTTCTTAAATATATCCTCTCAGTCTAAGATGGCTCTAAAGCTACTTTTTGTTTGCTTGTTTACACAGTCTCCTGAGATCTTCCCACTTTTTGTCTCTGAAGAGGGTAGTCTGCTTTACAAATTCAAAATTTAACTGGCATCCCTTCTGTGAGGTAGTTCCTGTAATAATTCATGGAACTTTTATGGTTTCCCTTCAAGTAGGTGCTCTTTGAGCCCTCCTTTCTCTGTTTAGGCCTCCTTAGCCCACAGCGGAACAGTTAAAAGTGGGTAAGAGCTAGTGAAGGCTTTTTGAGAAAGTTAATATATAATTCCACAACTTTTCCTCTTGCCCTCATGATGGCTCACTTTTCTACAAAAGTCTAATATATACCATATATAGTTTCTTCTACAGAAAACATATTTTCTTCCCCCATTGTGTATGTATGAATCTGATTTTTGTACATCTTAGCAGCTTTCCCTG